AGGTTCTCCTTATGTTGTCTAATTTGCTCAGGCAGACTTCCAACTCACCATCCTCCTGCCTTAAAAAAACAAGCTTTATTACATTGTATATTTTAGCTACATAGCATGATTGTATAAGATACACGTATATTACATAAGATACATGATATTAAAGTGGTTATTAGAATGAAACAAATAAACACAGTCATCACATAGTATCCCCCATGCACCCAGGCATGGCTACAATGTACTCACTCAGCTCAAGGCTTAGCTATTCCTCACTGCCACTCTTATGCTGTGCACTAGCTCAGTCTACCTGGTCCTCTGCATATTCGATACTTTGTATCCTTTTGCCTATATCAAGTTTCTCTTTGTGGTCCTATATTGTATTCTTTTTTAATCAAACCAATAGCCACTAATGGACATCAATTTCTATTTTCAAATGTAAATGAAAACACTACCAGAATGTGCGCACCTCTTTCACACACACACACACACACACACACACACACACACACACACACACAAAAAGGCTCTCCACTTTTTCCAATTCTGTATTTTCTCTTGTAAACATTTCACAGACTGCCTTACAGTGAGTAGGTCTATAAAGACTGGATTTTAGATAGAAAGTCTGTTTATTAATCAGGGAAGAAGATTTTTTTTCTTTTTTTCTTTTTGGTTTTTCGAGATAGGGTTTCTCTGTGTAGCCTTGGCTGTCCTGGAATTCACTCTGTGGACCAGGCTGGCCTAGAACTCACAGAGATCTGCCTACCTCTGCCTCCTGAGTGCTGGAATTAAAGGCGTGTGCTACCACTGCCCTGCTCATATATGTTTCTTGCATTAAGTTATAAGGAGTCTTAATTAGGAAATGTATTGGAACCAGGTAGTCAAGACCGGACCAAAACAGGATCCCCACAGAAGTCAGCTCTAACCCTGGTGACTTCAGCTCTAATCCACGGATGGTTTCACTTGAATTAGCGCACCTGCTGCAAAGCAGCTCCTGGTAGGCACCTAGATGTTGCACCAGCAGCTTTATATAAAGCCATATTTCCCTTTAACAAACATAAACTCGCATTCCCCCAGTTTCAAAGCCAAAATATCATACCCTCTTTTCTTCTAAATTTTGCCTGAAAAATTACCTTGCCCTTGATAAGAAACACCAGGCTACAGAGACCCACATTTCCCAAACCATTAGCCATACTTGAAAGCGGTCCAGGAAATAACACATCAACAAACAGCAGGTACCCCCCTACCTGTTTCGCAACAAAGGTCAAGCGTCTCATAGGGCCCCAAGTTCTCCCTACTCAATGCCAAGAGACTTAGTAGGCAAAGACTCAGACAGCCCTGACACACTGTTGACATATGGATAGAAAGACCTGTGACAATGACACCCCAGGAAATGACTGAGCACTCTATTCATCTGAGGATACTCCCCAAACAAGTCCTGAACTTGTGCTCACAAGAGAAGCAAGAGTTCAGGGTCAGCGCAGAACCTTCTCAATTTAAGAATGGAAGCACTTAGGAAGAGAATAAATAGATAGATAGATAGATAGATAGATAGATAGATAGATAGATAGATAGATAGATAAGGGCCTTTCTATGTATCCCGAGAGACTCAGACTCCCAGGGTAGAAAGGCATTTTAAGCAGCAAGCACCAAACTTATGGCTGCGTGCCAGCCAATGAGGGAGGACAGTATCGGTTACAGGTGACTCCTGGACGTTCGCACCAGGGTCAGTCTCAATCGAGCAGGGCTATGAGGGTGAACCACATCAGAACTGCGGATCTAGCAGAGTCTTGGTGGCTATGACACGCAAAGGACTAAAGCCACTAAGGCTCTTCCACCTGGTAAACGGGACTGCTAGAAACGTTTTAAAATTATCTCCCATTTCTTTTGAGTGGTGCAGCTCCAGCCTTGATTCCGACACAAACCAAAACTGTCATTCAGTAATTCCTAATTGCAGTTCTCATTTAAAAGTTCCAAACAAAAAACCAGTAGTTTCCTTTCTCAAGCAATTTGATTATGGTAACTTAATAAGAAAAACAATTTAAAGACAGCCACAAAGTAACCAGAAAGCACTATTAGAAAGTGGGGGGAGGGGCAGAAATAGCAGAGGATACAAAACCTGCAACTGTCAAGAATGTGACTACAAATTCCTTAGCTAAGTTTGTCTAAAAATCTAAGTCTAAATGCTGAGATTCATTTTAAGCTGGGCGACGATGGTGAGAGTCTTTAATCTCAGTACTCACAGGCAGATCTCTGAGTTTGAGGTCAGGCTGGTCTACAGAGCCCAGGACAGACAGTGCTACACAGAGAAACCCTGCCTCAAACCCCCAACTCCGAAAAATCATTTTAAAAGTGAAATGACTGTTTCGTTTTTAGTATCTGGGGCCCCAGGGATGGGGCTGGTTTCTGTATTACTGAAGTACTTGCAAACACAAACAAGTAAACCATTAACACTATGAAAATGGAAACAACTGAGCACGTGACACATACCAGGCAGGAGGATGATGAATTTAAGACCAGCTTAAACCACAGTCAATCTTTCAAAAAACCAAGGGCAAGGGCTTAATCAGCAAAGTATTTGCAAGCATGAAAACCTGTATCTTGATCCCCAAAGATACAAATCTTTAATCCCAGTGTTTACGGGATGGAGGAGGGTAGATCGTTGGAGCTCTCTCCCTAGCCAGCCTAACCGAGGCTCTAAGGGGTAAAGGTTCAGGGACAGAGCATGTCTCAGGAAAGTAAAGTGGACAGCAACTGAGGAAGTCATCTGACATCACACACACAGGGCACACACGTGCATGGACACACAAACATGTATACCACATACACAAACAAAAACAAGGTACTAGGGAGGTAGCTTGGAGGCAGATCATTTGCCTAGCTTGTGCAAGGCCCAGGGTTTGGCCCCTAACAAAGAAGGGGAGAAGAGGAAAAGGTAAATAAAAATAACTTCTCTTCCATCAACTGCTCAAAAGCAAAATAAACACTGCCCTACATTCTCTAGGACTGATTAGGCTGTGGTTTAAAATTATGAGATTTTCAAAAATGTACTTTCCCCACAGCGTTAAGTATATTTACCTTTTGTGGAGTCAGGTATGGAATTCAGGGCCTAAAACATGCTGAACAATTGATCTACCACTGAGCTATACTGAATATCCTTGCTTAATTTAAATGCAGAAAAACTCAAGAATAAACTTGGTAAGTGAATTTTGTCCTTACTCTCATATAAAAAAAAATCATTTTCCTGGGGCTGGAGAGATGGCTCAGAGGTTAAGAGCACTGATTGCTCTTCCAGAGAGGTCCTGAGTTCAATTCCCAGCAACCATAGTGTGGCTCATAACCATCTAAGATGAGATCTGGTGCCCTCTACTGGCATGCAGGCAGAACACTGTATACATAATAAATAAATAGACCTTTAAAAATCATTTTGCTATATTCAATTGTTAAAATATTGCTTTGGGAGGGTTACTAGACTACTTCTGAGTTTATGAAAATGGTCAGTTGGGGGGGGGGGTTGATCCTCTTTCTTTTTCTCCTTTCCTGAGATATGGTTTGACTGTATCCTAAGCTAACCTTGAAATCAGAACGTATCTCAGGTGGTCCTCAAACTCGTGGAGCCTCAGCCTCCTTAATGCTAGGATTAGAAACTTACATCACTGGCTATATTAAACAAACAAAGTTAACCAAATTAACACTAGTGAATGAATCCTCGGGATTTCCACTACAGTTAATAGCTCCTTACAGTGCACTAACTTATTCAAAAAAGGCCATCTTCAGGTGTCAATTCTTTATGTCCTTGAGTTTCATCAGCTAAGGATAATCTTCGGGCTACTTGGCAGGTGACACATTCCTCAGAAACTCTTTCCTTGTGCATTTAAATGCCAAGCTCAATTATGTTGCCAGCAGAGTAAGCAGAAAGGATTGTACATATTTTAAACTAGGGAGTTGATTGGCCGCAGCTTCCTGCCTTGATGGAAAGGATAATGGGTAAAGCTCTGAGTCCGATCCCCCAAACATTGAAATCACTCTCAAAGAATCGGATCCTCTAACACTGCCCCAAAGACTGCCAAAATTCCCATTAGAGCATCCTATTTTTAGTCTCTGCAATCGGCCTTTTAAATTGCATTCTACAGTACAATGTGCTTAACTAAGTTTACACAGACGAATAAAGACGCTTCCTAAGGCTTTAATCCTTTGAAACATAGGACAAAATTTTAAGCTCTCGAATCTTATTTTTTGTTCAGCCAAGTCTTGCAAACATGCATATTAAAAAGAAAAGGTAAATCTTGGCCCAGAGGGAGGACAAGAAGGGAGACAACTAGGCTGTTCCTGGCGACCGAAGAGGTGGCGGTGGAGGGGAAACAAGGTATGGGGGCAAATAAAAACCACCCGGAGGAAAGCGAGCATAGGCGCCGGGCCACCGAGCTGGGAGACACCGACGCGGAGTAGAAGCCGCAGGATCCCCGGGGAGGCGAGCGCGCGCGGAGAAATTGGCGCGATGCGCGACAACAGCATACCCGCAGAAAAGCGGGGGAAACGGGAGAGCCGAGAGGGGGCGGATGCGAAGGGACCCACTGCAACTCGCGGGAGGACAGCGCCCGGGGAGGAACGTGCGACTGTCCCCAGCTCCGCGGCCGCCGTGAGCCGGCAGATCCCCTGCAGCACGGCTGCTCGTCTCACCTGGGCATCCAAGGCAACGCAAGGACTACCGCCGGGAGCCGGGTCTGTTTCCAGCCCCACTGGCTGACATGGCGGCCGACGAGCTGTCACACAGCTGGCTCTGGTCTCCCGCGGCTCTGGAAGCTCGGACACCTCCAACCTCCCCGCCCCGCCTCCCCCCGCGCGCCCCTCCCGCCTGGTCGCCGGACCGAGGAGCATAGAGTGCGGGAGGCTAGAGAGGCAGCGCCGAGTGCGAGCGACCATAGAGTTCCAACTCGGACACACCCGGATAGTCCACTCACAAGCGTCTGGGGGCGGAGCCTGGGCGGAAGCGGAAGCGAGTGAAGAAAGGGCTGAGGCTCCGGCGTTCGCATGCGCAGTGTGTAGTGTTTTCTTCCGCCCGGCCTGGTGTGGCGGTGTGTTGTTGCACGTGGAATGGCGTGCTCCTTGTTCTTCCCAGAAGCTGCCCTAACTGGTGGTTGTGGACGATAGAGGAGGATGTGGGGCGCGGCGATGGGGCTGCCTCCGCGGCTGGCGCTGTCAGTGCTGGCTGGTCCTGGTCGCTCTTGCATTCTGGGGTCTGGAACTGCGACACGGAAGAACTTGCAAGCGAGAAACCGTCGTGACTTCTCTGACTTCTACCTGCAGCCGTTATTTGATCCTGATTTAGAGGAGTCACCCTTTTATGCATCCAAGGGTCGATCCGAGCCTACGCGTCACGTAGCATGTAAGAAATTGGCCAGAAACCTGGCACGAAACCTGCTGGGATTCCAAAAACCAACCCGTCAACTTATACTAGAGTGCAATCCAGGTGAGATGAGCAGAGGTTTGCTCTTAACCTTTACACCCCCAATTTTCTAAGTTATGTTTATTTATTGCGTTTTAGTTCAGAAAACAACCTAGCGAGAGTCACTTCTCTCCTTACACCATTGTTGGTCACGGTGATTGAAATGAGACTGTCAGGCTAGACGCCAAGTGTCTTTGCCCTCAGAGCGTTCTCATTGGCCCGGAATTGTACTTTTTCTTTTTTAAGCACCACTTCTTACAGAAAGTCGGTTCCGTTTAGACTAGACAGTAGTTTTTATGACGAAACATTCAGATAGTCCGTGAGTCCAAGCCTCAATCTCACATACTGGTTTTTCTTCAAATGAATAGTGGGATTTTTGAGGAGTGTTAAATTTTGCTGTCACTGACATCCTGCAGTGCTCTGCTACTTACCTGTTGGAATGTTGTGCCTAATCATCTTTTTACATGTGTAAAAAGAATAATCTGGGAGTGTTGTGAGATTTAAAACTTGTGTGAAACCCTACTTTGAAAGAGACTGTGGCCAGGCGCGGTGACACAAACCCTTAATCCCTGCAGAGGCAAGCTGATCAGAGTTCAAGTTCAGCCTGATCTACATTACATAACTAGTTCCAGGACAGTCAGGACTACATAAAGAGAGATCCTAATCTCAAAAAACAAAATAGAACAAAACTAAACAAAATAACAGCAAAAAAAAAAGGGAAAATATTAAGATGGGCTTGATGGTGCACACCTTTAATCCCAGCACTAGGTTGGCAGTGCCAGGCCCATCTCTGTGCGTTTGAGGCAAGCCTGGTCCACATAGTGAGAGAGACTATGTATGTTGTTTATTTTGCAAATAAAGCTTTTCTGTTAATATTCCAGGTCCTGGAGTCCTGACTGAGGCATTGCTTAGCGCTGGTGCCAGAGTGGTCGCCCTTGAAAGTGAAAAGTCTTTTATTCCAAATTTAAAGGTATATTTTCTAAATGTAGTTTCTAAACTAATTTGTTGTTCCCTCCACTAACTTTGAGTGGGTTAAAGAAGTGAAATTAAGCACATAGTTTCTTCTTACGGACTTTTAGGGACCATGTCTGGTATCTCCAAAGACTAGGACCCATTGTGTCTTCGGTGCTTGTTGAGTAACTAAGAGCTTTGGTGTTCTAGTTTCTACTGGGACCCAGAAAATGATCCCTCACAGTTTGACACATTGACATGCTGAGTGTTTTGAAATAAAAGACAGTTAGAAGCCTCCAGGCGTAGCCTCAGAAAGAAGGTATTTCTACCTCCCTATTTCTTTACTTCTTTCTTTCCCCTTCAAATCGAGCCGTGGAGACCAGAACTCCTATTCCCAAAGGACAGTCCTAGAAACTAGGACCCCCTCCCGGCCAAGCAAACCATAGCCTGTGACTATTAGCTGTCCGTGTGAGAGCTGCCCGCAAAGATCGTCTCTGACCTGCCCTGTTGGATAGATCACCTGTCTGTGCCAGTTTCCCGACGGCATGGGGAATGACTGACTTGACTATGAAGTGCTGTGCGACAGAAAAAAATTGTGGAAATGGCTACGACAGCCAAAGATAGAATTTTTTTCAAAAGATTTTTTGAAAAGTTCATTTTTCAATGAACTTTTGAGTAATGGGTTGTTTTGGCCTTTGGTGTGGTTCTGCTCAGTGGTAGAACAATTATCTGGCCTCACACACAAAGGCTATGATACAAACCCCAGTGAGGAAAGCCAGCCTGGCAGGTGAAGTGCCACATGCTTTTCATCCCACAGCCCTGGTGCAGTGGCAGAGCCTCTGGATTCCAAGGCTAACCTAGCCTACATTGGGAATTTCAGACCAGACGGGGCTACTTAGATTTTTTTTTTTTAAGCTATGGTAGCCCAGGTTGGCCTCAGCTTCACAGACCTCCTCTTGCTTCTGCCTCCTGTTCCTGTTATATGGAGGCAGAGGCAGAAGAATCACCCAAAGAGGCCAGCCTCATCTACATAGTGAGTTCCAGTCCAGTCAATGCTACCTAGGGAAGCCCAGTTTTAACATTCATTTCCCACACCCTCCAAAGGAAACAGCTTTATAAACAGCAAATGCAATTAACAAAACGAAAGGAAAAATTGTTGTTGATTTTTTTTTTGTTATTGTTTTTTTATTTCAGTTTTTTTCTTTTTTTTCTTGAGACAAGGTTTCTCTGTGTGTTCTGACTGTCCTGGAACTCCATGTGTAGACCAGGCTCACCTTACCCACCTGCCTCTATCTTTTGGGTGCTGGGGCTAAAGATCTGGCCACCATGCCTGGCTTGATTTTGTTATTTAATGTACTGGTGGTTGAATCCAGGGCCTTGTGCGTGCTATGTAAGTACTGTACTTCTGAGCTCTGCAGGCTCTAGGGAAGGTAACTTTTGTCTCAGAGCCGTTGCCCTTTGGTCATTTTTTCCTGTAGCAGTTGATTTTTAGGTTCTCTTTTAAATCCGTGTTGTATTAAGAATATTTGTACCTTCACATAGGATCGTTGGATTTCTTTTTTTAAAAAAATATTTATTTTTTTATTATATATACAATATTCTGTCTGTATGTATGTCTGCAGGCCAGAACAGGGTGTCAGACCTCATTACAGATGGTTGTGAGCCACCACGTGGTTGCTGGGAATTGAACTCAGGACCTTTGGAAGAGCAGGCAATGCTCTTAATCACTGAGCCATCTCTTCAGCCCCAATCGTTGGATTTCTTATTTGAGGTGCCATAGTGCCTCCCTGGGCCTTGTGCATGTTTGGTGTAGGTGCTGTTATTGAGATATATATAATCCCAGCCCTTGGATTTTAAGACCAGATCTCACTATATTATATAGTCTGGTCTTACAGTGTAACCCAGGCCCTCCTAGATAGAGTTTGTAATTCTCCTGTCTCCGTTTCCTGAGGGATGAGATTGCAGATATGGCCCATTGTGCTCAGCTATTTTTTAAATTATCTTTTTATTTTTTTGGGATAGAGCGTTGATGTAGCATGGTGTACATGATAGAACATCTAATGTCCCCTCCTCGTCTCTTCAGTCCTTAAGGAAGTATACAGGAGAGCTGCGAGTGGTTCACTGTGACTTCTTTAAGATGGATCCTAGACATCAGGAAATAATAAAACCGGAATACAGCTCACGGGTCATTTTTCAGAATTTGGGAATAAAAGCGGTTCCTTGGTCAGCAGGTAATTTTTGCCCTTCACTAAAACTAATTCTTTATAAATAGCCATTTCTTTACCAGTATGGCTCATTTGTTTACTGGATGTACATGTAATATATAGAGAGATTTAGATTGTTCAGTTAATAAGCAAATGGTCTTACACTAAGCATGCCATTCCTTTTTTCTGCTTATGAGTAACCATTTTATTTCTGTACAGGATAAGTTATGTACTAAGTGGGAGGCTTAGTTATTGAGTTCTATTTGTATATATTCATTGTATATGAGACTGTATTACATAGTAATTTTCTTGTAAATATATTTTTTCTTTTTTTTTAAGATTTATTTTATTTATTAAGTATACAGTGGTCTGATGGTTGTGAGCCACCATGTGGTTGCTGGGAATTGAACCCAGGACCTTTGGAAGTACAGCCAGTGCTCTTAACCTCTGAGCCATCTCTCCAGCCCGTAAATATATGTTTAAATAAGTGTCGTCCATATAAATTCCTTTCATATTACCTTGTCTTAGGGTTTCTTTGCTGTGAAGAGACACCATGACAACCATGGGAACTCTTATAAAGGAAAACATTTATTGAGGTGGTAGCTTACAGTTTCAGAGATTTAGTCCATTATCATCATGACGAGGGCATGGTGGTTGGGAGTTATGGCAGTGTACAGGTAGACATGCTGCTGGAATATATTACATGTAGATCCAGAGGCAACAGGAAGTGAACTGTCTCACTGGGTGTGGCTTAAGCATATATGAGATCTCAGAGCCCGCCTCTGCACTGACACATTTCCAACAAGACCACACCTACTCCAAATGACCATACTTCTAATACTGCTATTCCCAAACCATCGCATACCTTTTTATTTAAAATTCTTTTAAAGATTTATTTATTTTGTGCATATACATGTTCTGCCTGTATGTTTGTCTATACACCATATTTATAGTGCCCATAGAAGCCAGAAAAGAACTTGAATCCCCGGAACTGGAATTTTAGACACTTATAAACAGTTGTCAGCCACCATGTGGGTGCAAGGAATTGACCTGTAAGAGCAGCTAGTATTTTTGAACCTCTGAGCTGTCTCTGCAGCCCCTCTGTATTCCCCCTTTCACCTGTTATGCTACCATCCTTCATTCTCTTATAGCTTTGCTTCTATTTTCAGATCATAGTATATATACATGATTTTATGTTCCTATGTAAAAATCTAATAACTACATATGAAGAAAGTAGGATATTTGTGTTCTGGGGCTGGCTTAATTTGCTTAATATGATAACCTCCAGTTTCTTCCATTTCCTTGCAAGTGACATAACTTTGCTTTTTTTATGTTATTTTTGTTTTATTTTTGTTTTTTGAGACAGGGCTTCTCTGTGTAACAGTCCTAGCTGTCCTGGAACTAGCTCTTGTAGACCAGACTGGCCTCAAACTCACAGAGATCAGCCTGTCTCTTCCTCCCGAGTGCTGGGTTTTGTTTTTATGACTGGAAAAAAAATGGCCTTGTGTGTTGTAGTTAGTTTGAATACATTAATAATAAATTATGATGCCTTCTTGATGGATTGTTCTATTAATCAGTATAAAGTGACCTTTATCTTTTCCAACTTGTTTGTGTTTTGAAGTCTGTTCTGTCAGAATGGGAACACTTGCTTGGAGCACCTTCTCCATTCTTTCACCCTAGGTTTGCATTTGTCTGTCTTTGATCTGTGGTCTGGTTCTTAGAAGCAACAAATAATGAGATCCTGTTTTTGTTGTTGCTTTTTGGTTTCTTGGGGGTGTGAAGAGTGGTGTTTTGTTTGTTTATTTGCTTGCTTGCTTTCTTGTTTAGAAAGGGTCTCACTATGTAGCCTTGACTGGTTTGAACTAAGCCTGAGACTCATAGAGATCCATTTGACTCTGTCTTGACACTGGGATTTAAAGTATGCCTACCACACCTGATTTAGGTCCTATTTTTAAATGCATTTTACTGTTGCAAGGAGAGGGGGCCCTTTGTTTTTCCCGGCTGCCCAGCTAGCTTACACCCGAAATAACCACACATAAAATTGTATTAATTAAAACTGCTTGGTCATTAGCTCTACCTTCTTATTGGCTAACTCTTACATCTTAATTTAACCCATTTCTGTTAATCTGTGTATCGCCACGTGACTGGTTTACTGGCAAGATTCTAACCAGCATCTGTCTCAGGCAGGAGATTCATGGCGTCTGTCACTCTGCCCTTCTTTCCAGCATTCAGTTCTATCTACTCCGCCTACCTAAGTTCTAAAGTACCTATCAGGTCCAAAGCAGTTTCTTTATTCATTGGCCAATGAAAGCAACACACAAACAGAAGAACCTCCTACACCAGTTTACTGATCTATACCTTTGGATTGGGGAATTTAGGCTACTAACACTTAGTTTTATTATTGAAAAGTATCTATCCCTGCTATTTTATTGATCTTGTGGTGTTTTCTTTCTCTCCTTTGCTTAACTGCTGTTTCTAGTGTATTTATTTTCCCCTTTAGCCTCAATGTTTTATCTTTCTCTTCAGTCTGAAGAATTCCTTCAAGCATCTTCTGTAGGACTGGCTGGCTTAGTGGTTATGATTCCTTTAGTCTGCTCTTTATCATATAATGCTTTTCTTTCTCTTTTGGTTGTGACAAAGCTTTATTGGGTGCAATATTCTGGGTTCACAGTTGTCATCTTCTAGAGACTGAAATGTCATCTCAAGCCCTCCTGTTTTAGTTTCTGTTGAGACATCTGTTACTCTGCTGGCTTCATTTACGTGCAGCCTGCCATTTCTCTCTTGCAGCTTTCAAAAGCTTTCTTTGCTCTTTACATTGAGTGGGTTTTTTTGTTTGTTTGGTTTTGGTTTCTTGAGACAGAGATTCTCTGTGTAGCCCTGGCTGTCCTAGAACTCACTCACTATGTAGACCAGGCTGTCCTTGAACTCAGAGATCAGCCTGCCTTTGCTTCCTAGATTAAAAGCATGTACCACCACCCAGCTGAGCATTTTGACTGACATGAAGTGGAAAAGTTCTTCTCTGGTCTTGTCTGTTTGGTGCTCTAAATGCATTATTAATTGAATGGGCATGTCTTTCCCTAGATTCTGCTATGATTTTAATTAAAATATTTTCTATGCCTTTAGCATGAATAATTCTTTTATGCACATGATTTGTAGATTTGGTCCTTTTTATAGTTTCTTCAGATCTCACATGTTCTGTTGATACCTTCCAGTTAATTTATTTGTATCATTTTTCTGAATATTCCAATTTCTCTACTTTGTCTTGAGCCCAGATAGTGCATCTTCACGTTGGTCCGTTCTACCGGTCAGGCTTTCCACAGAGGTTTTTATTTTGCTTACTGAGTTTAATATTTCAAGTATTTTTAAAAGTATTTCTATCTACTTACTGAATTTCAATTTATATTCTTAGTTAACCTTATTTCATTAAGCCATTGTATTCTCTTAGAATTTGTCCAGGAATTTATTGGTATCCTCTTTTGATTTCTTTGGATATACTTGCAATCCCTAGTGTACCCCTAAAAGTTGAACAGTGTCTGCAGAGATAATCACTATCAAAGGGTAGGCCCACTGTGAATGTATAGGAGTCAAATACACAATTCCTTTTAAGTGCCAATAATTTTAGTTAAGTACAGGAACACTGATGCTGTCTGTATTAAGATATTAATCACGGTGAGTATGCATGAAAAGCAAAAGGTAAAAATTAGTGATTAGTATTGAGTTGGTTGGGAAAAGAAGAGGGGGAAATAAACAAAAGGGTAAAAATAGCAACTGCAGGATTTTAGTGAAGCAATTTTAGCTCAGGTTAGACTAAGTAGAGGTAAAGAAATCCAGTGGTGGAGAGTAACTAGAGAGATGGGTGGTTATCAGCACTTGCTCCTCCTGAAGCCTAGAGTTCAGTTCCTAGCATTCATGTGGGCAGCTCACAGCTGTCTGTACTAACAGCTCTAAGAGAATCGGTATCTCTGGCATCCTTGTGCACCTGCACCCAACTGTGTGCCTGTGTGCAGAAACACACATCTGTGCATAACTATGAAATAAAATAAATATTAAAAATAGACAAATTGTCAAACAACCTAAAAGATTAAATGAGTTCCAGCCGTTCGGAGGCTGAGATCCAGGGACCCCACAAGCCAGTTATAGCCCATGTGCTTTGGACAAGCCTGTGGAAATAAAGAGTGGAGAGCAGGGTAGAAGGACAAAATTAGTCTGCTAAATCATGCTTGAGTATTAAACAGATGAGCGTGAAGGGGAAAGAGCTGGTTGGGGATAGAGAAACTGCATGCAGTCTCACCTGATTGTTGGTTGCAGCCTTGCACCTGGATGCCTGTCACTGTCCAGGATATCCTTCTATATCAGGTCACAGATGCTCATTCCGTTGGGCATCCTTCACAGGTCTGTCACACCTAAGGTTCATACGTAACGTCACACCTAAGGTAGCCTTCAGGAGTCCAGTTTCAAATGCTTATCCCGCTCCTGGGCTGTACTTCCAGGTGTCCAGGGTGTGCCAGCTGACACAAGTGTCTGTGTTCTCACAAGGGCTCTCAGCCAGGTGTCCATCTCACTGAATACTGCATGGCTCTAATTCAGATTTTTCCCCCACTCTAGTTCCATGACTCTTTCTGGGAGAAAATTGGGACAAATGAGGGACAGGACTAAGCTGCTAGCTCAGCAGGAGGCTTTTGTTTGTTTGTTCTTTTAATGTGCTTGTATGTAAGTATGTGCATGCATATATGGGTGCCCTCAAAAGCCAGAAAAAGGCATCAGATCTACTGGAGTTGGAATTATAAATCACCATGAGCCACCCAAGGTGGGTGCTGGAAACCAACTTTAAATCCTCTAGAAAAGAACCAAGTGCTCTTAACAGCTGAACCATCTCTCCAGCTTCTAGAATCTTTTTTAAATGATGGATTTTGGCTACTCCCATGAGTGCCAAGAGGAAAGAGTATCTTTTCCTAGTATCTCCTCCTCCTGTCATTGCCATGGGCAGCTGTCTTAATTAGGGTTTTTATTGTTGTGATGAAACTCTATGACCAAAGCAGCTTGGGGAGGAAAGGGTTTGTTTTGCTTACATTTACACATCACTGTTCATTGTGGAAAGAAATTAGGACAGGAGCCTGAAGGCAGGAGCTGATGCAGAGGCCATGGAAGGTGCTGATTACTGGCTTGCTCCTCATGACTTGTTCATCCTGCTTTTTTATAGAGCCCAGGACCACCAACCCAGGAACGGTACCACCCACAATGACTGGACCCTCCCCATCAATCACTGTTTTTTAAAAAAAATGCTCTATAGGCTTGTCTATGGCCTGGTCTTATGGAGGCGTTTTCTCAATTCCAGCTTGTGTCAGGTTGACTTAAAACTAGCCAGTACAGCAACTTTTGTGTTCTTTATTTTTTTCTTTTTTACGTATGTGTACATATTCATGTATGTGCGCATGTACATGTGTATGCATGTGGAAGTCAGAATTTGATGTTGGGTGTCCTCCTCCCTCACCCCATGTCTGTCACTGAACGTGGAACCTGTTTAGGTAGACCGGACAGCAAACCCTGGGGATCTGGAATTAGGCTCTCAGGCCTGCATAGTAAACACCTCTCTGAGCCCTCTCCCTAGCACCATACAATTTCTCATCTTACTTCATTTCTAAACTAGACATTTGGGGGAGGGGGTTGCCCACCTCTTCTTACAGTGTCACCCAGCTGTTGTGTTATTTCTCTGGTGATTCTAGCATAGCATACCTACATGGCATCTACCATCTTGGATCCTTAGTTGAAATAGAGTTACCATTATTAACTTGCTTTGCATCAGTAAAATGTGATCATAGGAAAAAGTTTAAAGAAACTTATGCACACGTGTGCTTGTATCTCTAACAGGTGTTCCTATAAAAATATTTGGAATCCTGCCTAATAAATACGAAAGACGAATACTTTGGAAAACTCTGTTCGATCTGTATTCCTGTGACTCTATATACAGATACGGACGAATAGAGCTGAATCTGTTTGTTTCGGAGAAAGAATTCCAGGTGGGTTGTGAACAGGTGACTTGTGTCGCTGTGAGAGAGTGCTGTAGAGAGTGCTGCAGTCTTCTGAGGAACTTCAGCTGAATTTTTATTTAGGGTCCCTGACATTTGAGAGTTGTAATTATTTTACAATGTACAGTTAGTTCAGTGGCATTACATATATTTATATTACACATCCAGTACTTGCTGTCTGGCTCTAAATTTTTTTATTTTTGTGTATGAGTGCTCTGTCTTTCTAGACATCAGATCCCACTACAGATGGTTCTGAGCCACCATGTGGTTGCTGGGAATTGAACTCAGGACCTCTGGAAGAGCAACCAGTGCTCTTAACCACTGAGCCATCTTCCCAGCCCATCCAAAAATTTTTAGATTTTCCACTGAACACTTAGCTCCCACGCTTCCATTTCTGCAGACTCTGGTAACTGTTGTCCTGGCATCATCTGTGAGCTTGGCTTGAGTCAGCCTATATTCTTCCTTTGTGGCTGCTTTATCTCACTTAACATAATATCTTCAAGTTCATCTGTGTTATAGTGTTGAAATTTCATTTTTTTTCTTTGTTCAGCTATATGAACTCAGTAACTTGTATCTATTCATTCGTAAGAGAACACCCCTAAAATATTATGATTTAGACTTCCACATAAGCCCAGCAGTGGTGGTGTACACCTTTAAATCCAGCACTCAGGAGGAAGAGGCAGGCAGATCTCTGTGACTTGGAGGCTAGCCTGGTCTACAAAGTGAGTTCCACAACAGCCAGAGCTACACAGAGAAACCTTGTCTCTGAGCGTGGGAAAAAACAAAACTGCCACATACACAAGTTTTTGCTTTCAGGTTGTGACGGTGGTGTGCAGGTGGATATAATCTTTTTTCTTTCTTTACTCTATTTGATTTATTCATTGATCTACTTATTTGAGAAGGGTCCCTCACTAGGACTATTTCCATTTGTCTAGACTAGTCGACCAGTAAGCCCCGGGATCCTCTGTCCCCCCTCCAAGTGATAAGATACAGATGTGAGCTGCTGCTCTGCCTGGCTTTTCTGTGGGTGCTGAGGGTCATCCTCAGGTCCTCATGCTTTTGTGGCAAGCACTGGACCACCTGAGCTGTCTCCCCAGCCCTTGCTTTCAGTGGTTTAGTTCATATAAGTAGAACTAGGATTGCTAGATCATGTGGTAATTCTACATTTAATTTTTAAAGGAAGTACCATACTGCCTTCTTTGTAGATACATTTTACTTTTCCAACAGTACTATACAAGTATTCAGAATTTTTCCATTATCATATTTGTATTTTTTTAATTTAATTTTGTGAAGTTCTTTTTGTTTGTTTTGATTTGTGGTTTTTTTTGTTTTTCAAGAAAGAGTTTTCTGTGTAATAGCCCTGGCTGTCCTGAACTTGCTTTGCTTGAACTCACAGAGATCTACCTGCTTCTGCCTCACAAGTGCTGAGATTAAAGGTGTGTGTCACCACACCCAGCTAATTTTGTGTTTCTTATTAGTGTGTAAGCATGGATACATATATGCCACACCATATGTGTGGGAGTCAAAGGTGTCCAGGGATCGAACACAAGCCAGCAAGTTTGTCCAGTTGCATCATCCCGTTGCCCTTTTCTTTGTATTTTTGATACCCTCTCATAGTTGAAGTCGTGTTTCATTGTTAGTGTTTTCCTAATGACTAGTTAGATTGAACATCTTTTTTATTTACTTACCAGTCACTGCATATCTTCTCAGAAGCAGAGTCTATGAACATCTTTTGTCCTGTTTGATTTTTCATCACTTTGACTGACGTTATTTTTGATAGGAGGGTACATCAACACTTCTTTCCATTAAAAATAAAATTCACGTCCCAACAAAAACAGCAGAGGAAGTTGATTTTATAGACGGTGGAGAACTGAAAAAAGCTAAACCAAAACTCGATAGCTACTTGGTCATTTCACAATTATATTCCTAAAGCAGAAACAGATACAGAACAATAGAAAGATAGCAAATTGGTTATCACCGTGTTCTTTCAGATGACCTTTATAAGATTAATACAGAAGGACGGTCATTATGTTGGCAAGTTGTCCCTAGCTTGTTTGGGTACTTTGGCTGCTCCCGATTTCCGGGAAAAGCAAATAAGCAGCATGGGTTCACCTTAGTGGCATGGAGCTCAAATCTGTGTGGCTGCAGTTTAACTTTTAATCTGCTCTTCGGGAGTCTAGTGCACAGACAGCAGCCTCTCTGCTTTTTCCTTTTTAGTGGGAAGGTGTCCTGCAGTCCTGAGCAGTGCTGTTAGGATCTGCTAAGGGATCACAGTGCTTCCTGTGCATGAGCTTTGCTCCAGTGTAATTGACAGTGCCCATTTGTACATCAAGGATCCCTAGGCAGGAATATGGTGTAAGAAATGAGGGATGTTTCCTCACCCAGATAGTATATATTGGCTAGACAGTCCTGATCCTTTATATATACATGTATGTGCATACATGCATGCATACATACACATACATACATACATACATTCATTCATTAAACAAAAAATGAGAGCAAGGTATGTAAGAATGTTCTTCAGGTTGTAAGTTGGCCACAATAGCCAAACCTGTGTGTGGTCCAACTATTTGGGAGGCACTTGGGGGTAAAGGGGGACGGCTCAGGATCAAGGTCATCCTCTAAGATATAGTTGCAGACCAGCCTGAGCTACATGAGACCCAAAATTTTGTCTTGCTTTCTGCTTCTTTAACATAGACTTTTCTGTGGGATCCTTTCTCAGTGATACCTTCCATTCACTGATGGTATTATCCTTAATGTCCAGCAAGAGTTAGCTTTGCTGGGATGGTAGTGTCATACCCCATAAATCCCAGCACTCGGGAGACAGAGGCAGGTGAATCTCTAAGTTTGAGGCCAGCCTTGTCTACAGAGTGAGTTCTAGGACAGCCAGGGCCACACAGAGAAGCCCCATCTCAAAAATAAGATTAATATTTAACAATTTAATAGCTCACAGTTGGAGTTCTGAGTGGCATTTTGTCTGTGCCAGAAGCCAAATTCCAGTCCCCAGGAAGAGCAGCAAGCTCTCTTAACCAGCCCAGCCCATATGCAGTCAGTTTTGTATGTTGATATCATATGCTTTCAAAAAGGGAAACTGATTGGAAAGCCTTAAGGTTAATGTTTTGTGCTTAGTTCTCATCTGTTTGGTTTGTTGAGACAGGGACTCTGTATGTAGACCTATCTGTCCTGGAACTCACAGAGATCTTCCTGCCTCTGTCTCCTGGGAATTAAGTTTAAAGGTGTATGCAACCACACCTGACCAATTCTCATCTTTTAATTTAAATTTCTAGATGCTATTAAGATGTTAAAGTTAAGATTTGGCATTTTATATTGATTATGAGTCTATGTAACATAATTTTGTCTTTTTTTTTCTTCTTCACTAGAGACTGATAGCAACTCCTAAAAGGCCAGATTTATACCAGGTATTGAGTGTGCTTTGGCAAGTGGCTTGTGAAATTAAGTTTATTCACATGGTAAGTAAAGTCTCCAATGCCAGGACAACTTTATAACTCAGAGGCTATTTTATTAAAAGATTTAATTTTATTATTTCCCAACATATTTAGTGTAGTTTTATTTTGAGATAAAACAAAACTAAATCTACCTGGTGTGAGTTCACAGAGATCCTTCTGCCTCTGCATCCTGAGTTCTGGGATTAAAATCATACACCATCACCAGTTATTGAAAGAAAAGTAATGTTGATACTTCTTTGGCACCTTTTTTCTCTAATCATAAAAGTATTACAACAATAAGGTGGTGGTGGCGTACTCCTTTAATCCCAGCACTCGGGAGGCAGGGGCAGGTGGATCTCTGTGAGTTAGAGGCCAGCCTCGTCTACAGAGCAAGTTCCAGTACAACTTAGACAACTCAAAGAAACCCTATCTCAGGAAAAAACAAACAAACAAGTAATATGACTAGCTCATGATAAAACTAGGAAACTTACTGGGTGATGGTAATGCACACCTTTAATTTCAGCGTTGGGGAAGCAGAGGTCAGCCTGATCTACAGAGCTAATCCCAGGATAGCCAGGACTGCACAATGAAACCTTGTCCCAAGAAAACAAACAAATACAAGAATATGAAACTTAGTTTGAGACATGCTCTATGAAATGGAAATTTTGTGAATCAGTAATGTAGTTCTATAAGACATACAGGACTTATTTTGGTCTTCTGTTTTTGTAGGCTTTTCCTTTTTTTTATTTAATATAGTGAATATCACATTGCTTTGTCTTATGAGACAGTTTTTCATTATGTAGCCCAGACTTTCCATCCTACTGTCTTAAGTGCTAGGATTATAGATGTATACCACCTATAGATGAATACCACCATATGTAGCTTTACCCACTCTCTTACCTGTTACACAAAATATGCTGTTTGAATATTGTAGTTCAAATAGTTAGTCATTGTTAATACTTATTTAGCAATGCCAGATAGGATTTGAACTGATTTATCCTTTTATTTGTGTGGGGGTTTTGGATTTGAACATAGAGACAAGTGCTCAAATACAGAGTTACAGCCCTAGCCCCTAGGTATGGTTTGGTTTTGTTAACAGGGTGGGGTTGACTGGATCTCATAGCCCAAGCTACCTCTACCTCCTAAATACTAGGATTATAATTGTACACCACCACACCCAGATTTGCATAGGTATGGGTTTTTTTTTCCCTGTTTTTTGTTTGTTTGGGGGTTTTTTTTGTTTGTTTGTTTGTTTTGGTAGTAATAACTTGAGGTGTTTGACTAAAGAGAACTAACAGAATTGAGGCGCCTTCGGCCTCATTTGAGATCTGTGTAGGTTAAAGAATGTCCTGGGGTAGAAGAGATGGCTTGGTTGGTAAAGTGCTACAGTACAAGCATGAGAACCTGAGTTAAATTCCCAGTACCCATGTGAAAAAGAGCCCAAGCCTCTAATTCAAGGGCTTGGGGAGACAGAGACAGGAGGATCCTTGGGGCTTGCTAGGCAGCTAGTCCTACAGAATCCAAAGATCCAGGTTCAGTGAGAGACCCTTACTCAAAACTAATGTGGAGAGAATGATATAGGAAAAGACCTGAAAACAGCCTCCACCCTCCACACATGCCCATGTGCACACGTACCACACAGACCTACATAAAGAAAGGAATATCTTGTCTGTTTTTCTTCCTCCAGGAACCTTGGTCGTCGTTTAGTGTATATACCGAAAATGGGCACTTAGAGAAGTCAAAGCTTAGGGTAAGAACAAATGATGCTATTCCTGTGTATCACATTTATTTTCTTTAAGATTGTCTTCAGAGGCTAGAGAGACATCCACCCCACAAAAAAGAATTATCTTTTCTCTATTAACTTGAGTTTTTCAGTAATAAAGTTATGCATACTTACGTTTGCACACACAGTAAATAAGTATATGTTTAGAAAAAAATAAGGAAAAGGCTAGTCAATAATACTTTTGTATTCTTGGATCTGCTAGTGGTTTTTATTAAACACAGCAGCAACTTGGTTCATGTTGATGTTGTGTCTGAGCTCTGATTTTACTATAACCACAACTCAGTACACTGTAGGCTGAAGTTTCCTGTCTTGGATCCGCTTGGTCCCAAATATCCAGCAGCTGCTTCCAAATTACCACACAGAAGCTTACTATTATTATAAGTGCTCTACCAATAGCTCAGGCTTATTATTAACTAACTCTTACACTTTAAATTAACTATATTACTTCTTTATGCTCTGTCATGTGACAGTACCTTTACTCAGTACAGCATGTCCATCTTTCTCAGCTTCTGGCCAGTGTCTCTCTTCCCTTCTCCTTCCCCTCATCCTTAGTTTGGTCACCCTGCCTATACTTCCTGCCTGACTTCTGACCAATCAGCATTTTATTAAACCAATTCAAGTGACAGATCTTTACAATGTATGAGAGGATTATTCCACAGCAATACACTTTAGCTGTCTGTTTTAGATAAAGGACTCAGTCTGAGCTTGCAGCCCAGGAGGTAGTGAGTGTTTGCTAGACACACATTGGGTTTGCCCCACGGCTGAGCATTGGAGTAGGGCCCTCACATCACTTCTGGTGGCAAATGTAAGCAATGTCATATACAGAATAAAAACCTCGTCCTTCTAGGTTACTTTCTGCTCAGAACTCTGACATGGCCTAGGTTACAAAGTGTTAGGCCTTTAGTAAAAAAAACCCAGAGACACTGGGGATGTGCAAGTGGCCTGAAGAGTAAAGGTCAATGCTTACCCTGCAATAGTTTATGACTGACAAAGTTATTTCTTTTCTGTCTAGGAATCATTAAAATCAATGAAACAAAATCTATATTTTATTCAAATGACTCCTCGTAAAACTTTATTTACAGAAAACTTAAGTCCGTTGAATTATGATATATTTTTCCACATGGTAAAGCACTGCTTTGGGAAGCGTAGTGCCCCAATAATGCAACATTTACGGTAAGTAGAAATTCAATGAAGACAAATTGTAAAAGTCATGACTTAATGTGACTTTCTCCTGTGTTATAAGGTGGTTTTTCACATCTTGATTTAGAGTAAGATGTGCCCATGTTTTATTTACCTGTTAAAAATACTTCCTTCTAGACTGGAGAGATGATTGAGAAGCAGTTCACAAATGTCTGTAATTCCAGTTCCAGGAACTCCAACACCCCCTGCGTTGCCTCTGTGGGCACTATACACACAACATGCACACACCTACCCACAAGATAAGATTTAAAAAGTACTAAGTAAAGATACCTGTTTCCCTGTTGTGCTTTATGTTTTCTTTTTTTTTTTAAAGATTTATTTATTTATTATGTATACAACATTCCTTCCATGTATGCTGCATGCCAGAAGAGGGCGCCAGATCTCATTGCAGATGGCTATGAGCCACCATGTGGTTGCTGGGAATTGAACTCGGGACCTCTGGAAGAACAGTCAGTGTTCTTAACCTCTGAGCCATCTCTCCAGCCCTGCTTTATGTTTTCTATACCTCCCTCTGACCACTTGTTTTCATTTGTAGGATACTCGAAAACTCTTTTATCTTTTTTCTGTAGCTGGAATTCTTTTCTCTGTCCCATCTGGCCACACTGGACTGATTTCTCTCCTGCCTGCCAGTCCCCACAGCCGCTTGTGAAATAATCATTTGGAGGCTTAATATTAATTATAATTGTTTGGCAGATGACTCAGGCCTCTTACTGACTAGCCCAACATATAAATTAACCCATTTCTATTCATCTGTATATTGCCACGTGCCCCATAGTTTACCAGTAATGGTCTGGCATCTTATTCCTCTGGTGACTGTTGGCATCTCCCCGACTCTGCCTTCTTTCACCCTGTCTCTCTGCTTGGACTTTCCGCCTAACTATATTCTGCTCTGCCATAGGCTGAAGCAGCTTCTTTATTAGCCAATGGTAATAAAACATATTCACAGCATACAGAGAGTATTTCACATCATTGTTCAGTGTATGTTTATTTTGTTTTTATGTCTGCCCACCTGTGCTGTTCCTGTGTCCTTTGGAGGCCAGAGCAGCGTTCGTATCCCTGGAGCTGGAGTTACATAGGTGCTAAGAACTGAACTCAGGTCCCCGAGAAGAGCAGCATGCACTCTTAACCACAGAGCCGTCTCTCCAGTCAGTGTGATGTCTTATCTATTCACCTTGTAACTAGCAGTTCCTAAAGTGTCAGAAGATAGAAAAAGTGTTAAAATAGTTATTTTAATTAATAGTCAAAAGGCAACTCTGTTAGACTTAACTGTTGTTAAAAGGGATTAATCATGTTTACTTGTTTTTGTTTTTGTTTTTAACAGTTCACTGACCACAGTTGATCCAATTGATGTACTGAGGCAGATGAGACTAAGTCCTGGAGGGACAATTCTTAAAATGTATCCTCAAGACTTCAAAAGACTGTTTGAAAGTATAGAGAGTTCCGAGGACTCTGTCTTTAAGTGGGTCTATGACGAAAGCTTGGAGGACATTCAGGTCTAGAACAGTCTGCAAGCCGCGAACTGGAGCTGTCTATCTATTTATTTGGAAGTTATGAGACAAATGAAAACTGAATTTCAAGAAGTTCACGCCCTTTCAACGGAAGAGAAGCTATCCTCGTCTGGCACAAATGGGGCTGGTAATTTCATCTGAAGCTGATACCTTTGACACACTGGAAAAGACAGTGGCTGTGGTTTTATTCAAAACTGAATAAAATATAAAGTTCTCAGTTTGATCAGATCCAATTTTTTTTAATTACTGTCTGCAGTAGATCAGTGGTAGAACACATACCGAATGTGTCCAAGGCTCTGGTTTTGCTTCCAAGCACAGGAAATTAAAAAAAAAAAAATCTATTTACTGAAAAGTTTAGTAGGTACAGGATATTTCAAGTTGTAATTTCCTCTCTTTAAAAAGTCTTTTGGCCAAACATCTTTAAATATCGCAGTTTTCACCACTGCCAATTGCTTGCATCTTTTTCCGGTTTCTGTACTGTAAAGCTTAGAAAATGAACTGATTTGACCAGGCATGGTGGTGCAAATCCTGGAACTTGGAAGGTAGCAGGCCCATCAGTTCAGTGCCAGTGTCAAGTAAGGATGAATGTGAGGCCACTTTGGCTAATAAGAGACCCTGTCAAACAAAACAGTATAAACTTGTTTCAGAAAGTGATGAGTTTATCTTTATGTTGAAATGAATTATGAATGTAATTGTTTAAATTTTAGTATGTTTTAAACTTTTTTTAGAAATAAAAAGGTTTTAAGTGATATTTATAATTTTTTGTCTGTAAATGCATAAGTGAAATATTAAATTGACCTGAAACTTATTTACCTTAGTTCTATCATATGTAGTCAGTGTGCTATCAGTGAGTAATTCTGTCTGTAACTGAAATTTGAGGAGCTACCCCTGTAGTTGCAGTGGTGGCTAAGGTGGGAGGGTTCAGCAGACAAGAGTTGGAGACCAGCCTGGGGAGTGGTGGGGTCAGGAACAGGTGGAGTGTTTATCTGATCTTTATCAGTAAAAACTCAGGAGTCAGATATCAGGGTAAGAACCTGAATGATCACAGAAGCAGCAGACAAACAACCAGTGACGACACCTCTCCCTCCCTCCGTGTCTCTCTCTCTTTCTCATTCCTCAATCCAAAAATGACCAAATCCCTCTCTAAGCCCCACCCTTCTACTTCCTGTGTCTGTCATCTATGGTTAATTTTGATCAGCTTGTAACTAACCGGCACTCTGATTCAAAGCAAACTTTATTGCCACTCTCAGGAACGTCAGGATGTGGTCACAATATCACGTAACATTTCTCCCATTTGTCTAAATAAAAAGGGAAAGTTTTAGCTCCTAAGACAGAAAAACTATATACATTAAGAACAATTATCATGGGGCTGGAGAGATGGCTCAGCAGTTAAGAGCTCTGCTGCTCTTCCAGAGGACCAGGATTCGATTCCCAGCACTCACATGGCAGCTCACAATTGTCTGTGACTCCAGTTCGACGGGATCCAATACCCTCACACAGACATATATGAAGGCAAAACACCAATGCATATGAAATAAATTTTTTTTTAAAAAAAAAGAACAATTATCAGGTAAGAATTACATTCACACTGTCCAGTTCATTTGCATTTGACAAATCAGAGAAAATACTCCATTATCTATTCTGTATTGGTGAGTTCAAAGTTTGGTACTTAATTCACTTACTATCCTAACTTGTCTTACTTTCTATCCTAACTTGTCTTACCAACCTCAAACTATTTTTAGACCTCAAACATTTTCTTACATAAACAATTGGAGCTTTTTTGTCTCTCAACCTTATATACTTTACACTTCTTTTGTGAGTTTCATTTCTGAATTTGGTAGCAAGGAAATCTGTAACTATTAACTATCTAGTCCTCAATTCTATCAGACACTCAAGCAGTATATAATATCTGAGTGAACAGGAAGTGCAGAGCAAACTACTAAAACTATAGAAATGACAGAGACAGCTGACTGCCTAGAAAGCCACCCAAGCTTCCTCTTTAATGTTGAGACGTCCATCTTCAAACTATAGGCCTAGAATATCTTACAGACTTTTCCTATAAAGCAGGAATTTTGAAGGACTGGCCTTAGAGGCAGTCCCTAAGCAGCTCAGGTGCTATGGTGACTTTGACGCCTCATTCTCCCTACACATTAAGCTTCAGTTCCTGGTTTTACCTTTATCTATGGGCTGTATGGTGATTAGGTTTAATGTCAGCTTGACACATTGTAGAGTCACCTGGGAAGAAAGGCTCAATGAAGGATTGTCTGCATTTGGTTGGCCTGTGAATGGGCATGCCTAAAGGGGACGCCAGACCCAAGGCACTGTGGGCAGCACCAGTCCCTAGGGAAGAGGTCCTAAACTGTGTAATAGTGGAGAGATCAAACTGAGCATAAGTGAGCGTGTGTGCATTCATTTCTCTGCTCTTGACTATGGATGTTAGGTAATTCGATGTTTGAGGTCTCTTCCTTGATTTTTCCACAATGGTGGACTGTAACTTGGTATTTGAAATGGAAATAAACCCTTATTTCTAAGTTGTGTTTTATTGGTCTATTTTATCACAGCAAAAGAATGAAATTAGGGCAGGTTTGTTATCTGTCTGGCTTAGAACTATGACATCCCGAACAACTTAAAGAAATTTGAAGACATTAAAAAGATGGAGAGATGGCTCAGTGGTTAAGAGCACTAACTGCTCTTCCAGAATTCCTGGCAATCACATGGTGGCTCACAACCATCTATAACATCTATACCATCTGTATACAATAAGGACAATTAGCTGTTGGGCAAGAAACTGCCCTTTCCTCAACTTTTGACAGTATGATGTAAAAATGAACAAGCAGGATATAAAGGAAATCAACTTCTGAACTTTGCCAAGACAGGGTAGGCCAGTCCTTCAAAAACTCTTACTTCACAGAAAAGTCTGTAAGATATTCTGGGCTTAAAGGACAAATATGGATGTTCCAAAATTGTAGAGGAACGTTTGGTGAGTGTCTAGGCAGTCAGTTGTCTCTATCATTTCTATAGTTTTGAAAGTAGTTTGCTCTGCACTTCCTGTTTTATTAGGTAATATTATGTCCTTCTTGGGTCTTTGATGGGATTGAAGACTAGATAGTTATAGTTTTATACTTTTCTTTGTTATCAAATTAAAAAGAGGAACTCACAAAAGAGATGTAAAGTTTATAAAGGTTGAAAAACATAAAAGCTTAAGTTGTCTAGCTAAGAAAATGTTTTAAGGGCTAAAATATTTTTGGATGGTAAGACATGTTATGATAGTGATTTAGGTACAAAACTTTGGACTCACCAAGATGGAAGAAATAATAAAATACTTTCTCCAAAGTTGTCAAATATAAATGAACTAGACATTGTGAATGTAATTCTTATTTGATAATTGTTCTTATTATATATAATTTTACTATGTTAGTGTTCAAACCTTTCCTTTTTATTTAGACAAAAGAGGGGGAATGTTGTGGGATATTTGATCATACTGTGAACCCCAAGATTGTGTTAAATAAAATCTGTAGCAAGAATAATAAAAACCCAGAGTCAGATATTGGGCCTCAACCCAAAAATCAGAGAAGCAAAGTAGTCAAGGCACTAGAGAAGTCTTACCTCTACAAAGACTGGGCGACTGTAGACTAAACAGACTAAGAAGACTAAGCAGCCTGGGCCTCTCCTCCCATTTTATATTCCCTCTAGTGCTAGGATTAAAGGTGTATGACTTCCTAGTACTGGGATTAAAAATGTGAGTCATCACCACCTGGGTTTGTTTCCACATTGATCTTGTGTAGCCCAGGGTGTCCCTGAACTCACAGAGACCCATTTGCCTCTGTCTCCCAAATCCTGGGATTAAAGGTGTGTGCCACCACCACCTAACCTCTAGTGGCTTAGCTTTGCCCCTCTGATATTCAAGCAAGCTTTATTTATTAAAACATTAATAAAATATCAATATAAAAGTCAATCTTAGGTTAAGAGGTGGAGCCAGCAACCACTTGACAGATAAAAAACACAGAGTGGGAGGAAGTCAGAAATAAGGGTAGAGAGACACACAGGAAATAACATGGAGGGACTTCAAGTCTGGTGGTCTTTTTGGTTTGGAATGGCGAAAGGGAAGCTCTCTTTCTGAGATGCCAGCAAAGTAGGAAGGTCAGCTGGTTGCTCCTGTGCCTTTCTGAACCAGTAGGTTTTCACCTCAGTGTCTTGACTCCCAAGTCTTTAATAGTAAAAATAATAAGGTTGCGATTTAGTTTAAAAAACAGTATTTATGATACTAAATAACCAATAAGTAAACTCTACATCTTAGCAGCATTTGTTCAAACCACTTTCCTCTGGTTTTCCTCCCTGTCATTGGTTTACAGTGGAATGTTGCTGGAAATGCTGAGTGCTCTGTATCCTTATACAATTCTTTATTATATAGTCTTCTTCTCCCTAGCCATGTGCTTTAAACCTTGGTTTTCCTTCAAATGTCTTAACTCTGTCTTCATCCATCCATTCTCTACAGGGAATGGTCTACAATAGCTATACTTTTGATTTTGAGTGACTGAGTTGATTGAGCATCTAGTAAGCAGAAGAACAAATAGCAACCAGACAGTGGTGGCACAGGCCTTTAATCCCAACACTTGGGAAGCATAGGCAGGTGGATCTCTGAGTTTGAGGCCAGCCTGGTCTACTACAGAGCAAGTTGTAGGACAGCTGGGGCAACACAGAGTAACCTTGCCTGGGAAAAAAAAAGGCAATAGCAAATAGCAGATAGTAAAACATCTTCAAGGGCTGGAGAGATGGCTCAGAGGTTAAGAGAACTGACTGCTGTTCCGGAGGTCCTGAGTTCAATTCCCAGCAACCACATGATGGCTCATACCCATTATAATGAGATCTGGTGCTCAGAAGACTATATACATAATAAATAAATTTTAAAAAATCTTCAAATTGGAGTGTCCCGATCAGGAGAGCAAACAAAAGTAACAGAATCAGATCAGGCATTTGCGATATCCATTGTGATGACTAGAGAAGCCCTCCTGGAATATTGTACTGGAGCTTTCACAGTTGAGAGATTTCCAGGCTGAGGGTTCTCTACATGGACAAGCTTTCTGGTCTCTGGTTCTCATTGCTGGCATTTTTAGATCATGCTGAACAACAGTTACCTCTTTTGGAAATTCTTTGCCCTCTAGCTGTTCTCAAGAGTGCTCTGTTTTAATACCCTTGGCTGCTTGCTCTTCTCCTTTATACTTGGTACAGTGCCAGGGGTCCAGGCTGTCCCAGGATGGGGGGTCTTGAGAATACTTAGCATAAGCATGCTGGGGTCACGGATGAGGGACTCTCTATTCCCAACCACTTTTTCTTTTGTTTTTGAGTCTGATCTTACTATGGTAGTCCTGGCTGGCCTAGAACCAAGCTGCCCTAAAGCTCACAGAACTCCACCTGTCTCATCCTTTCAAATGCTTGGATTAAAAGGGTGTACCACCCAGCCCAGCCATGACAATGTACCTATATGATTTACACAATTTTATCACTTCTGTATTAATCTTTCTAGTCTCTGTTTCTTTAATCTGCTCTTGAACAGCACTAGGCTTGCCTGAGCTTTCTTAACTCAGTTATACCTTGTGATAGTAACCTATGACATCACTAGCCACTGGAAAATTGAGGTTGCCCAAATCTTAGCACTGGTGTTGGTCAAGAACTGATGATGAGAGCCTTGAAACACATGGGGGTACACTCCTCTAATCCAGCACTCGTGAGGCAGAAGCAGGTGGATCTC